AAGCAACACCAAGTTAATAAGTTTAAGGTTTTCCAGAAGGCAGAAAAGGAAAACCAGCACTGAGTTAAACAGTGACTGATAATGGTGTAATTTTAAAGTACAAAGTTAAATTTGAACTATTTTAATTTTATCCTAAACGTATCTTTTAAAAATATGAAAAAGGTTAGCTATTGGTGTGTGAATATACTTGTATGACTAAATCATGTGCTCTTCTAACTTCTCTGCCCTCTGTGCCTAAGAAAAGTCATCTGTAGTGGTCACATCAAGGAATAGCTCCTGGACTCGTAACCACCTCAGAGAAACTATGGCTGTTTTCAGTTTTGACAATGCTGAATTTCACGTGAGCACTCTTACCCAGGTCACTAGTGAGGGTTAAGACATCTCCTCATTCTTCCATGTTCCAGAAAAAGACTTACTAAAAAGAACCACCCTTCTCCATGTGGCATAAGCAAGACTCGCAGATGCCCCCTTGTTTACCTATGACAACAAGGTCAGGCACAGACTCTCCAAATTCCTGTTCTTTGCCTCATAAATCATTAACTAAACTGCTTGTCCCTACTGATCAAATGGAACAAAATGCTAATTAGCCACACTTTAGTCAGGCCTTTCGCCTTCCTTTAGGCCCCTGAATTCTGCTTGACCCCTAGCCTGAACAAACATAAAAAGTGGAACAAACCCCCATTACCACCTTCTGGGAATCTGCTGACCACAGAATACAGGAATATACTTTCCTGTCAGACCACACTGAGGGGGAGAGCATTTGAGGCAGGCCCGTGAGGAGATTAGCTACTTCTCCCCACGGAGCCAAGTCCCTAAGATAGGGGTTGCCACAGAGGATAAGAAAATTGATAGGCAACAGAGAGAAATAAAAGAATACATAGAGACTAAGGTATAGTTTATAGTTTTATATATATATAAAGTTCAGATATAACACAGCAGGAGTACCTAGGAGACTGGCGTATCACTGTAAACGCCAGCAATATGGTTAGATTTGTACAGGTTTTTATAATCACAGACATCAATTACCAGTTGTCAGGGTAACATTTGCATATCAGGGAAGGCAGTTGCTAGGGGATACAGGTAGTCGGTTAGGGTCAAAAGTCCTCTCAAGGGGCTTCTAATCTATCTAAGTAAACAAATAGGTACAAAGTCTTTCAGGGGCTAGCTTCTAAGTTTTAAGAGGTGGTTATCAATTAACAAAGGTAAAACAAAAGAGGTATAGTGACTCTATATATCTTTGATTAGTTATGTGGACTTAAAGGTAGACAGACAGGGGAGAGCAGGAAGCCCGTCTCTATAAAACAGGTCACTCATTGTCTCTGGCTCCCATCCCGTGGGCCATATTTGCCTTGTCTTGTCTTTCAAGACATAGGGAAGCTCACAGATTTTGAGATACCGGGAAGCCTTCCTGGAAAACATCCCTACCAGAGATTTGAGAGCTCTCCCATGATAGCAGCCTCTAATAAGTGAACCATTAAGTCCACACATTCCTTCAGGGCAAAACCCTGCAAACTCCTGTTTCTGTCTTTACTACAGTAATATTGGGTGATACAATAAAATAATGGTCTTATGAGCCACATCTCATTAATTCCTCAATCATATTTCTCAACACCTCACTGGTCATGTCCCCTTGCCTGTCCAGCCCCTCCTCCAAAGATTCTGCTTATCTCTGTTTGCCTCCTCCTTCCCCTATAAAGGAAAAGCCTTTTTTGTTTGATTTGGAGACACTTGCAGACTTTACGGTCATTGTAGTGCTTTATAAGATTTTAAAGATTCTTTTAATAATGGGATATACATAAACATTTCAGTGGATGAAAGGCAGAAATTTTTTTGTTAATTATCTTCAAAGGAGAGACAGCTGTCAGACAGGGCCACATAGGGGACAGGGTAACAGCCATCTTTGACTGGTGCTAGAGGAGCCACTTCCAAGATGGCTCACCAACATTACTGTTGAGAAGAGGCCTGAGTTCCTCACAAATTCTTGGCAGGAGTCCTCCGTTTCTTGCCACGTGGGCCTTCCATAACACTGCTAACACATTCTCAAGACATGGCAGCTAGCATTCCTTAATGGCATGATCTCAGAAAGAGTGAGAGCAGAAAGGAAGCCATAGGCACTTTCATGACCTAGTCTTGGAAGTAACACATCATCACTTCTGCCTCATTCTATTTGTTAGAAGCAAGTTACTATATCCAGTTCCATTTTTTGAACGGAGAAGTAGCAAAGAATTGTGGACATATAGTTGAACCCTGAAAAACATGAGGGATAGGAGCAATGACCCCCCCCCATAAAGCTAAAAATTTGCATATAACTTTTGACTCCCCCAAAACTTAACTAGTGGCTAGGTGCAGTAGCTCATGCCTATAATCCCAGCACTTTGGGAGGCTGAGATGGGAGGATTGCTTGAGCCCAGGAGTTGGAGCTTGCAGTGAACTATGATTGTGCCACTGCACTCTAGCCTGAGTGATAAAGGTTTGAGACCTTGTCTCAAACAAACAAACAAAGTGAACTATACTAACAGCCTGTTGACCAGAAGCCTTACCAAAAACATAAACAGTCACTTAACATATATTTTGTATGTTACATGTGTTATATACTGTTTTTACAACAAAGTAAGCTAGAGAAAAGAAAAAATCATTAAGAATATCATAAGGAAGAGAAAATATGATTACTATTAAGTGAAAGTGGGTCATCATAAAAGTCTTCATCCTTCTTGTTTTCATGTTGAATAGGCTGAGGAAGGGGAGGGGTTGACCTTGCTGTCTTAGGGGTAGCCGTATCAGAGGCAGAAGAAAATCTGTGTTTAAGTGGAGCCATGCAGTTTAAACCAGCGTTGTTCAAGGGTCAACTGTATTTGAGAAACACCACACATTCTTCCATGAGTCGTAAAGGTTGCATTAGCCCCACTGCTCCATCCAGACCATCAGACTATTCCACTGAAATTTACAGCCTTCTTCTTTTGAAGATCATGAAGTCTTTCTTTCTTTAGCATTCACTATTCCTCATGTCAGGAATTACATCCATGTTTTGCCACTCATGAAACCTACATCTTGGCCATGGCCAAGCCTGGCCAAGATTTCCTTCCAGCCCCCACACACGCCTGGCAGGCCTGAGAGATTGTAACACTTCCTCCAAACCCCAGACAAATCTCAGATGGGTCACCCCAAACCTCATCACTGACCTACATCCCTCATATGATGGCAGCAGATAGCATTGACACATTTTACATGAGTTCCCTGTCAACACTAGTTATGGTATTCATCAAGGAAATGCCTGGCCCCTATGAGTACCTGGCCACTTGATTTCTGTCTACATCTTCCTACTAAAAACTCCTCTGGTCCTTTCATCTTACCTCCAACTCCAACATCCTCAACAGAACAATTATGATTTCTACATCTCAATTCTTCTTCCTGCTTCTCTGTACCTCCTACCCCACTAGCATCCTGGTAGCCAGGCCATGCAAAAGAAACTATACTTTCTCCTAGAAATCAAAGTAATCAGAGCGAGACCATGAGGGAGATCATGAGCATGGGACACATCCAGCTCTCCTTCTAGCAAGCACCCACTCATCTCCCAACCACCCAGAGAATAATTATCTAGGCTTGTTGAGAATGGAAGAGGTCTTAACCCCATGGCCCTCTGATACCAGCTGTCCCCATGCTGTCTTTCATTGCTCAATAGCAGCTGCCCCCAACCTTTTTGGTACCAGGGACTGGTTTCATGGAAGACAATTTTTCCACGGACTGGGGGTGGAGTGGGTGGGTGAGTGCAGAACTCAGGCAGTGATGTGTGGACTGTTTCCTGACAGGCCACGGTCAGGTACAAGCCCAAAGACCCTGGGGTTGGGGAACCACCGCTCTACACAAGGCCAAGACTGATCGATTTTCATATGATCCACTAACTAAAGGCTTAATTTGGGGAGGAGAAGGGGCTGAAGGAGCTCCTTTCCCACCTGGTCTCACCTCTTTTTCTACAAGTGAGGAGGAGTTGCAGGGAAAGAGGGAAATTGGCCTCAAAGATTTTCTTCCAGCCCACACACAGAGCTGAAAGTGCTCCTGAGGCCTCTTTTCCCCTCAGAGGTGATACTTAAAACATATTAACCACCCTGTGCCAGTCTCAATAGACCTGAGCAGATCCTGAAGGGCCCTGGAGCGGGCCAGGCATTAACCCTTTAGTTGTGTTAAACAAGATTAGGAGAGGCCATTGTTTTGAACCGACCTCCTGCAAGAAACCCCAACGGGGATCTGGCCAAACAAAAATGGAGTCACTCATGCTAAATGCCACATAATTAAACTGAAACTTTGAGGAAATTGGTAAGCAATTTCCTCAAATTTCCAAAACAAACTAGTCTTTCCTGAAAACAAAAGATTCACAGCAAGAAATCACAGCCTATTAAACCTGAGTCAGCACAGTAAGGAAGTCCCCTCCGCTTTAACTCTTACAAGAAAAGTAAACCCATTTTTTTCCTATTGTTTCCTTGTTCCCACCTCACAAAACCCATTGTTTTGTCATGTCCAGTGGGATCTCTTTTATTTTAAAGAATGAGATGTCCTGATTCATGAATTGCAAATAAAGCCAATTAGCTCTATACACTAAATTGTTGTAATCTTGTCTTTTGACAATTGTTGTACCATGAAAATGATTCAAAAGGCCTGGAGTACGGGGACGCCCCAGAGGGGTTCAGGCTTGCGGTTCCCATTGTCACCCCTTCGGGTCCCTTTATTCCCTCGGGGGCGGGGCGGGCGAGGGGTGGGTTGGAGAGAGGCCTCCAAGGCAGCCCCGCAGGCACAATGGGAGGGCCGTGGGCAAACAGACCACTGCTGACCAAGCTCTGAGGCACGAGCGGGCATTGGAGATCCGAGCGTGGGAGCGAGGTGCCCAACGCAGGGAGGTGAGGGGCGTTAGGGACAAGCCCCGCCGCCCGCCTAGAGGCCGCCCACCGCCTCTCCGGAGACCGGGCAGCAGCAGAGACGTTGGCCCTCCCAGTTTCCTAGAGCGGCCGCGGAGGGCCCGGGGCGGTGGCGCGCGTGCGCGGCCCCGACAGCCAGGAGGAAGGCGCGGGGCACTGAGCTGAGGCTGCGGTGGGAGAAGGTGAGCTGCCCAGCGGCGCGCGGGAGCGGTGGGGGCGGCTCTGCGGGTACGGGGCTCGCGGAGGCCTGCGGGGGCCCTCGGCCCTGCCCTGGCGGCAGACAGGGACCTGCCTGGAGGTTCCGCCGTGGGCTGGGGGCCTGGCCGGGGATCCCACCCCGCCTCGCTGGGGGCGCATCGGGGACGTCTTCGCATCCCGGTTCCGATGTGGAGAATTTGGAGTCCTGCTTTCTCTGGGCTCTGTCTTTTCACCCAATTTTACAAATAAAGCGTGTTCATTAGAAACAATTAGATACCACAGGAAAGTGGAAGAAAAGTAAAAATAGCCGCAATCCGGAAATTTTATCTGCAGGCCTCGTGGCATTTACACACTGTGGGTAATTATCACACTCGCATGTATGTTCATACATACTTTTGTTATGAAAGAGCGTGCTATTGCTTTTTAAAAGCTTTTGTTAGTATTGTGATGAAATACACGTACCATTTACCATACAGCGCATCAAATTTTTACCATTTTCACCAGTTTAGAAGTGTGTAATTCAGTGGCATTAAGTGGTTTTTAAAAATTACAATCTCTAGAACTTGCGGGATGCATTTATTCTCATTTTGGTTAAAACTGGGACTGGCATTATGACCACTGAAACATTTTTTTGTGAAGATAATTAAAATACTGTGTTTGCAGTTTATTTCCCATAGTGCACATTTACATGAAGCTGTAAGTGGTCAACAAGTGACATCTGTGCAGAAAAATAGCAAAATATTGTTTGTTAGGGGGGTTGTCTTTCAAAATGATAAAAACCAGTGTAGAAAATCCAGTTTTTAAACAAAAGTAGAGCTCTAACCTACAGCCATTGTAGTGTACCCTGACTTGCATTGGCCTAAAATATCAGAAAACGGTCTCCTTTCTAATCTAAAAGGGATAGCCATAGAAAACTCATTAATATTAGGTCAGTTGTTTTGCAGGGAAGTGTCAGCGAGTGGTTTGAGCACTAATTTGATTAAGCAATTTCAGGGAACTTATATGTGTTATGTACGTGTGTATGCCTGTGCTTATTCAGGGACTGAAGAATTAGGCTACTCTTACGTGTTATCTAAGGCTGACAAATATTGGTTGAAAACCAATCACTTCTTAGTAAGTGGAAAACATGGGAATGTTTTGAAGATAAACCTCCTTATGCAGTTAAAGAGGAAACTGACAAATGCTGCCTGTTCTACCAGTAAGTTTTCTGTGGCTTCTATCTAGGAAGTATTAGTGCATAAGCATTCTGTGATGTCAGAGAATGCTTGAGAATAAAATACATAAAGTATGGTAAAACATGACTCACTGTATTTTGTAATTTTCAATATTTTTAAAACCATCTGAAAGAAATAATCTGAAAGAGGTCTTGTGAACATTCCTGTGACCCTCAGGTGAATTGTTATGCTTTTCATAAGGTTGAATTTATGAGCTTATTTCTTCCCTTCCTGATCTTAAATTACTTCTACCCTTTTCTTGTCGTTTTTTTTTTTTTTGAGACAGAGTCTCACTCTGCTGCCCAGACTAAAGTAGTGCCCTGGTGTCAGCCTAACTCACAGCAACCTCAAACTCCTGGGTTCAACCGATACTTCTGCCTCAGCCTCCCGAGTAGCTGGGACTACAGGCATGCGCCACCATGCCCGGCCGATTTTTTCTATATATTTTTAGTCGGCCAATTAATTTCTTTCTATTTATAGTGGAGACGGGGTCTCGCTCTTGCTCAGGCTGGTCTCAAACTCCTTACCTCGAGCGATCTGCCCACCTTGGCCTCCCAGAGTGCTAGAATTACAGGCATGAGCTGCCACACCCTGCCTTCTTATCTTATTTTACTATATAGTACCTGTCACTATCTGACATACCATATACCATATATTTGTTCTTTCATATTAGTTTTGTTTTTTGGTTCATTCTATTGGATTTCTTTTTTTTTTTTTCTGATGGAGAGGGAGTCTGGCTGTGTTGCCCAGGCTGGTCTCAAACTCCTGATCTCAATTGATCCTCCTACATTGGCCTCCCAAAGTGCAGGTATTATAGGTACTAGCTACCACAACTGGGCTTTATTAGATTTTTTAGGTGAGTCTTCATATCATTCATGAGTATGTTTGCTTTTCATCTTTATTTTCCAACAGTTTTCTGCATATTTTTGTTGCTTAATTGCATTGGCTAGGATTACATTGTGTGATCCTGCTTTTAATTGCAAGGCTTTTAAATGTCTTCACCATTTAGTATCACATTTGCTATATATTCCTTTTTGGCTATTCCTCATCTCAGTTTAAAGATGTTTCTCTCTATTCCTGGATTGTAAAGAGTGTGCACAAAAAGGAGATAAAGTTATTTAATTTTAAGAGAGTACCAATACTATGAATCGGTTTATGCCAATAAGTTTGAAAACCTAGATGAACATTTGGATTGTTTCCTCCTTTTGACTATTATGAATAATGTACTATGAACATTTGTGTACAAGTTGTTGTGTGAACATCAATTTTCTTTTCTCTTGGATGTATACTTTATAGTAGAATTGTTAGGTCAAATACTAACTGTTAACATTTTTAGGAACTGTCAGATTGTTTTCATAAGTGTCTGTACCAATTTACATTTCCACCAGCACCAAATGATGGTTCTAGTATCTCCACATCACTGATGTTTGCTATTATCTGATTTTTATTCTAGCCATCCTAGTGGGTATGAAGTAGTATCTCTCTCTTTTTTTTAATTGACAGGGTTGCCCAGGCTGGAAAGCAGTGGCACAATCATAGCTCACTGCAGCCTCAAACTTCTGGGTTCAAGTAATCTTATTGCCTCAGCCTCCTTAGTAGCTGGGACTACAGGCACTCGCCACCACACCTGGCTAAAAGTGTAGTATCACATCCTTGTGTTGATCTGCATTCCCCAGTGACTGATGTTGCTGACTATCCTGTGTGCTTATCAGCTATTTTTATATTTTTATTAGAGAAATGTCAATTCAGACCTTTTGTCCATTTTAAAATTAGGTTATTTTTCTTTTCATTATTGAGCCATGAGTTCTTTAAATATTCCAGATACAAGTCTTTATCAGATATATGATTTGTCAATATTTGCTTCCAGTCTGTGGGATGCCTTTTTACTTTTGCTTTACGTTCTTTAAGCACAAGAGTTTTTCCTTTTGATGAAGTCCAAGTTATCTTTTCTTTTTTTCCATGTGTTTTTGGTATGCCTTTGGCAAGAATCTATTGCCAGATCCAGTGGCATATGTTTACAGCTATGTTTCTTATAAGAGTTTTAAACTTTTAGCTCTTACATGTAGGTTTTTGACCATTTTGAATTAAGTTTTGCAGATGATATGAGCCAGGGCTCCATCTTCATTCTTTTGCAGGTAGATATCCAGTTGTCTCAGCACCATTTGTTGAAAAGACTATTTTTTCCATTTCGAGTAATCTTGGCACCATTGTCAGAAAAATATGACCATAATGTATGGATTTATTTCTGAACTCTTCATTCTTATTCATTGATCTATATGGCTGTCTTTATGCCAGCATCACAATGTTCTGATGACTCTTGCTTTGCGTAATAAGTTTTGAAATTAGGAAGTTGGAGTCCTCCAACTTATTCTTCTTTTTCAAGATTATTTTGTCTGTATGAGTCACTTGAGTCTCCATAGGAATTTTAGGATAAGCTTTCATTTTCTAAAAATATTGTCATCTGGGAATCATAGGGATTGTGTGGAATCTGTAGATCAATTCTGGGAATATTCATGAGACTTGTGTTTGAGGTAAAGAGAAAGAGAATTAGAATATTTTGGCGTATCTCTGGATTCATTGACAGAACTTGGGAAATCAGAAAGAAAGGTGGTGAGAATATGCATTTTAGACTCTGAACTTAAGATGTTGCTGGACGCCCAAGTTGAATGTCCCACAGACAATTGGAAGCGTGTGGTACAGGTCTAGGAGACAAATGAGAACTGTGAGAGCAGTGTGAAAGCAATGAGGGTCAGTGAAGTTGCTGACAGAAAAAGGAAGCACTGAGGCCTGAGCTTCAAGGAGTGTCCGTAATGAGAGGGAAGGAACAGGAAGAGGAACCAGGGTATGAAGAACCAGAACTGTGAGGGAAAAATCAGGTGTGCATGGTTTTAGGGAGAAAAAATGTGCCCAAAGAGCTTGCTTCAGACAGATTGAAGAGAGTGCAGGCTAGAGGAACACTGAGTTCTCAGTTTGAACAGGCACCTTCTACTGTGTGCCTTCCAGGGAAAATTCACAACACGCTTGGGGTAATGCCTTATGGAAGAGAGTAAGAGTCAGTGTGTGTGGAGCTGCCTGGTTCTCTCTTGAATCCACTCTTTGGGAATATACATCTTATGGGAGCTGAGGGCAGGGCTTGTCCCACTCATAGCTTTCTTTCCTCCCTCAGCTCAACTTGCTTCCCAGTTCCTGCCCTTCCCCAAGCGGGGAACTCGGAGACCAAGCAGCAACAACTGTGCTTTGGATGGTCAGGCCCTAGGTGAGCTTGGTTCTTTGTGTTTTTCCCAAGTTCCCATGTCTGTGGCCCAAGAATGGCTAGAGCCCTCACCTCCAGGACTCTGCCCCATCTGGGACTATCCCTATGACTCTCCTGCCTAATTGCGTCCCCTGGTGCTGGATCACTACTGCTGAGTTAATGGACTCTGTCTTGCCCTGGACTTGTCTTTTGGAATTGTCATCCCAGCTCCTGTCTCCCACCCCTTTGCCCACCAAGAGCCCATACCCTATACCCTCTGTAGCCCTGATGACTCTGCCCTTCAGGCTGGGAAGTTCTTGAGCAATAGCAGCTTGTTATTCCAGGATATTTTGGTGTATGAGGACCTGTCTATAGACTATACTGAGAAGAAGTGGAAAGGTCTGGCCCTTTACTGGAACATGATGTCAGAAAATTACTGAAGCACAGCCTCATTGGGTAATAATTCTGTTTCTCAGTAACTTAGAATCTGCATTCTGTACCTTTTCTTTGCTATATTCTTTGTCTTTTTTACCTTTTCATTAGGAAAATTTCCAAACATAGATAAATTAGAGTAAATAATATGGTGAACCTCTCTGCACCCAAAATCAGCTTTACAAGGATCAACATTCTCTTTACTTCATTACTGATTGACCTAGGTGGTTTAGTTGTGGGTTTTTTAGTTGTAAGGAATGGAGAGTCATTCAAGTTCTTGTAAGTAAGGAGCTCTGTGTTGTAAGGCTTAAAGGAATGGGAGCCCAGAACAAACTGGTCAGTTAGACCACACTATGAGAAACAGGGACCTGTGGAGACTTTCCTTGACCCAGGGCATTATGGGAGCATGAGCAGCAAAAGCAAATGAATTTTTACACCTGTGTTCTAATGTGAATGTAACACAGCTCCTCACAGCATATCAGTTTTCTCTCTGCTTGTTTTGTTGCTGCTACCCATTTAATTCACTCTGAATCTTTTGTCCCTCCCACAGCTCCTTCCTAATTGTTCCCTCATACTTATTGTTTGCTGTGGCTCCTAATAGCTTGACTTCTCTCCATGTACCATTTCAATTTCCAATTCTACTTGTAATTACCTAAATTTTCCCTACTTCAAGTTCCACATTTACTTAGAGAGGGATTCTGGTTGCTACAGCCATTAAATATCTGCTCTGTTTGGACAGAGCTTTGGCCCAGGCCATGGCAGAGGCTGATAACTAACCTACAGATAAGCTCCTTAGGTCTAGTGCCTGGTTGCGGTCCAATCACCTGTGGTCCATCCTCGGATACTCAGAATCACTAATACACAGCATGGTTTCCTAAGAATCCCTCTCTGCAAAGATTGGGGCAGTTTTCTGGAAGATTTATTGTAAAGGAATTTCCTGTGATTGACAAGTTTAGGACATTAGCCAACTCTGGAGAGGGTTGGGCCACTGACCCAGACATCTTTGACTTTCCATAGGCTAAATGGCATGATGGCTGTGGCTCTGATTAAGGCATGACTAAAAAGAACCAACATTTTGGTGTTTAGCTATGACTAGGATTACTCTATTTTCTCCCACATTTTGTATTTAAAAATTCCAGAATTCAAGGCAAATATTCACCCATTAAGTTTCCTTTATATTCTATAAAATCAAGATCCCAAAGACACATTTTAATTCATATTTCAATTATTGTTGCCCCTCTTAGTTTTTATAGGAGTACAGAACTGGCTCATGGCAGTTCAGTGCTCTGGGAACATTGGCCTCTCCACTGTTAGAGCTCTGCCTTCTCCCTCAACACTGTTCCTCAGCATTTCTGAACCCATAGCTTCTCCAAATCTTGTTACTGTCCTGTCATACAAGATCTTTCCTTTTTGCATACTTTTGTAATCATACCCCCATAATATAAATCTGCAGTTAACTCTCATCTTTCCTTCCCTCTTTAAGAATATATAAAGAATATGTAAAAGAATATTTGACTTGAAGTATTAATATTTGCTAGCATTGTGTCTCCCAGCATTGTTTTCAAGAACCATAGAACTATACATTGTTGTGGTTGGAAAACACCTTAGAGTTCATCATTTTACTAAGGACACATCGCACCAGAGCGACTTCTGTAGGAACATACCATGCTTTAACACTCTAGTCTCTTGCTTTCTGTTGGCTCTTCTAATATGCTGTATTGGCTCAACATCTGGCTGTCCTGGAATCTTTTTCCCCGCCTTCCTCTACTGACTATTTTCCTCTCTTTGTTTTTTTAGCCCTGGAGGAAAAAAAAAATGAACTTCTTATATTCTCTCCTCTTCTCTGTGTGTCATCTTATTTCTTAACCATAATGTGGCTTTTTCTCAGATACATAGCCTATAGATGATTCTATTTGTTCAGTAGAACAAGAAATAAGTAAAAGTTTTCTTCTTTCTTTTGGCAGCAGGTAGAAACATGATGGAGAGTTCAGAGTTGACGCCAAAGCAGGAAATTTCTAATGGATCAGAGTCATCTGATAGGATACCTGGGGGACTCTTTGGGCTGGTTCCTGGGGGAACAGAGACTGGAGATGTCCATGAAGATACTTTCGAGAAGCTAGAAGTGCCACCCTCAGATGAAGAAGGGAGCAGACTAGAAAGTGCTTTCTTGGGAATAACAGGTAAGGATGAAAAAATATCCACAAAAGACAGGTGTGAGGAACATAAGGAGGTTGGGGAACATAGAAATCTGTCTTCTCGTCCTGCTGAACATGAAGGAACTCTAAAGGGACAGAAATCCTATCGGTGTGATGAATGTGGCAAAGTTTTCCGGTGGAGTTCACACCTCATTGGCCATCAGAGAGTCCACACTGGAGAGAAACCCTATGAGTGTAATGAATGTGGTAAGACCTTCAGGCAAACCTCTCAGCTCATTGTTCATCTCAGAACACACACTGGGGAAAAACCCTATGAATGCAGCGAGTGTGGAAAGACCTATCGGCACAGTTCACATCTCATTCAACACCAGAGATTTCACAATGGAGAGAAACCTTATAAATGTAATGAATGTGGAAAAGCTTTTAATCAGAGTTCCAAACTTATTGATCACCAGAGAACCCATACTGGGGAGAAACCTTATGAATGCAAGGAGTGTGGGGCAACTTTTAGTCGGAATAGAAATCTTGTGCGACATCAGGTTCTTCACAGTGGTAAGAAACCTTACAAGTGTAATGAGTGTGGGAGAGCTTTCTGTTCCAATAGAAATCTCATAGACCATCAGAGAATCCACACTGGGGAGAAGCCTTATGAGTGTAATGAATGTGGCATGGCCTTCAGTCGGAGCAAATGTCTTATTCGACATCAGAGCCTCCATACTGGGGAAAAGCCATACAAATGTAGCGAATGTGGGAAAGCCTTCAATCAGATCTCTGAACTTGCTGATCATGAACGAATTCATACTGGAGAAAAACCATTTGAATGTAGTGAGTGTGGTAAGGCATTCAGTCTGAGTAAATGTCTTATTCGACACCAGAGAATTCACACAGGTGAAAAGCCCTATAAGTGCAATGAGTGTGGAAAATCCTTCAATCAAAACTACCTCATTATACACCAGAGAATTCACACTGGTGAGAAACCTTATAAATGTAATAAGTGTGGAAAGGTGTTCAGTTATAGCTCCAGCCTTATGATACATCAGAGAACACATACTGGGGAAAAACCCTATAAATGCAACGATTGTGGGAAAGCCTTTAGTGACAGGTCACAGCTTATTGTGCACCAGAGAGTTCACACTGGAGAGAAACCTTACGAATGTAGTGAGTGTGGGAAAGCCTTTAGTCAGCGCTCCACTTTTAATCACCACCAGCGAACTCACACTGGAGAGAAGCCCTCAGGTCTAGGTCGGTCAGTTTCTTAAGGCATGGTTCTCTGAGACAGAGTGAAGACCTTTCAGTTAAGTTTTCTTTATAAGAAGATGCTCACACCCTGTCTTCCTTGGAAACACTAATCAATGTGCACCATTGCCTGCCTGGTTTCCCTTGGGTCACTAAGGTGGGAGAGTGGGAATAACTTAGTTTGATCCTTACCCTACTACTAAGAAAGTAAGGACTATACATTTCATTTACTTGTAGGTTTCCTTCTCTCTTTCTTTTTTAAACTATTTTAAAATCTAATTTCTTGGTGTACATCCCATAATCAGATTCTGTGTTTCTCAAGAACAACGATTATATCTTCTTTATTCTACTGCAATTCCTCCATTTCATCACTTACATGAAGTCATTGTATAAGGTTATTCTTGTCTGCTTCTTGGCTGTCATCTTCCACGGCTACTTTTCAAATTTATATTGTAACGTATATCCTCTCATCATTTTTCTTTTCTACCTAGAAAACCTTTTCTTCCTGTTTTGTAATCATCTCTCACAATGTTCAAGGTTCATCTCATCTCTGAAAGGCTTTCTTCTTCAAATGCTTCTTCATTCCTCTTATTAACTTCTTTTTATTTGATCTCAGTGCTTTAAATTATCTGGTGCTACAATGTACAACTGTTGTTGAATTGCCTTGTAAATTGTCCTCAACTTAATGCATATGTGTAGACTTTCATATCAACTTGTAGGCTCTTGAGATCAGATGTGGCATCTATTTCTTTTAACATATAGATAATAGTTTGAGTATGCTAGTTCTTAAATATGTTTTGAAACTCAACTCTCAAATTGAACCATTCTTAACATGGGTATGGCCTCTCCCCTTGCCCTCATCATATTTATTGGACTAGAAACTTCTGAAGATGGAAGTGGCATCTCCTCATAGTATATCACATACAGAACTTCACTGATACCTTCTATGTCTGCAGTCCCCAAACCCTGAGCCATGGCCCATTACTAGTCTGTGACCTGTTAGGAAATGGGTTATGCACCACTGCCTGAGCTCTGCACCATACTACCCCCACCCATGATACCCTACTGCCTCATCTCCAGTCCATGGAAAAATTGTCTTACATGGAACTGGTCCCTGGTGCCAAAAAAGTTGGGGACCACTGTGTGTTGCCGTGGAAGTTTTCCTATTGGTACTTCAGACTTTAAGAGCTAATGGATTTAGTGTGAATGAATACCTGTGTATTGAGTTGGGCAGTCATAACTCACTCATATGTTCTTTGACTTGCATGCTTATTTAGTTCTGAACTAAAGCTGACTGCATCCTACTTCCTAAATAAACTTTGCAGTCAAAATGTACTGAAAAGAAGACTTGACCTTAATGGCTGTGGTACAGATGATTGAAAATGCCAGCTAGGAGCATCCCTGGGTGATTGGAATTCACAGTGATGAGATTTTTGGCAAGGTAAAAAATCAGACTAATATGTTTTCCTTATCAGCTAGCCATATCCAACTACAACTGCCATCTTAATGTCAAGATGAGAGCTGTATGTACCCTTAGTTATCAGGCCATCTTTCATTCCCCAAAGACATAAGAAACAGGAAATCTCAGAGGATTTCCCCTCTTTTTACAGTGACATATCAGTCATGAACTTGAACAACATTTCCTTTCTACCCTTGCAGTTGAGCCTCAATCTGCAGGACCTTTGCCTCTTGTGTCCACCCGCTTCTCTTTCCATCTCCCAAACTTCCTCTTTTTAATTTTTTTTTTTGAGACAGAGTCTCACTTTGTTGCCCGGGGTAGAGTGAGTGCCGTGGCGTCAGCCTAGCTCACAGCAACCTCAAACTCCTAGGCTCAAGCAATTCTTCTGCATCAGCCTCCCGACTAGCTGGGACTACAGGCATGCGCCACCATGCCCAGCTAATTAAATTTTTTGTATATATATTTTTAGTTGGTCAATTAATTTCTTTCTATTTTTACTAGAGACGGGGTCTTGCTCAGGCTGATTTTGAACTCCTGACCTTGAGCAATCTGCCCACCTCGGCCTCCCAGAGTGCTAGGATTACAGGCGTGAGCCACTGCGCCCGGCCCCAAACTTCCTCTTAACAGGCTGACAGGATCAGCAGTGTGACAGAGGTAGAGGAGGGGGCTAGAAGGGCAATGTCAGATATGTAACCTGGAGAGGATTTCATGAGCTACAGTTTATGTCCCAGACAGTGGAGAAGAAAGGGAAGAGACTTGAGGCTCAAGAAAATAAGAAATGTGATTCTGGGGGGACATCTCAGACAAAGTTAGAAAAGATTATTATTGGGAGCCTAAAGTTTTTCAGGGCCTATAAAAATTACTGAACTCAGGATACAACTGGAAATTTGCCTTTTGTGAATAAGTATTTTAAATGTTTTCAGCTATATTTTTGGTATTTGTTTTTGTTTTCCTTAAATGGTATGCAGATAGGGCTTTTTTTTTTTTTTTTAAAGTGTTTTACAATACTTTGGGAGCTTTCAGATTCTGACCCTGTATGAACACATGGGTCCAATCCTCCACTCTGAGTTGGGCATTTCTGATCATGTCTTCAGTAGCACCACCCTGCCTACTGGATGCTGGTTTCTGGTTCTTGTCTGCTCATCCCCTACCATGCTAAGCCTCTGGAAGGTGGGCACTTGCACTGTTCATAATTGTATGTGCCTACTACCACCAATTTGGAGTATGTGCTCAGTAGAAGTGAATACCCTGATATCCTGAAAAAGCCTCAGGCTCTTGGATGGAGGAAAACTGGCTGCATTTGAAAGCCATACCTCAATTTCTATTAGTTATTCCTAGTATAAGCTTTAAGTTTAAAAACTTTTAAAAATCTGGATTCAGTTACCTTGCTATATTGTTAGTTTTAACAGTTTTTTAGTTCCACTTTTCTGGCTTTTCTATAGATATATAATAAATGATTTATTTATCTCTTAATTTCCTATCTATGCCACTTATATTGTGCATTAGCAAGAACTTCAAAAACTATTTAATAGATTATAGGCATTCTATGGCTTTTTCTTAACTCAGGAGGGATGGTTTTAGTATTTCACAGTTTCTTATGGTGTTCCTTGTTAGGGTCTAATAAATATTCTATTGCATTTAGGATATTTCCTTCTAATCCTAATTTTGGAAGAAACAGTATAGTACAGTGGTTAAGAGCAGAGATTTTGTGCCCAGTGCCCTAGGTTCAAATCTTAGGTCCACCACTTTATTAGGTGTGTGACCCTGGGCAAATCACTTAGCTTCCTTGTATCTTAGTTCCTCTGTCTATAAAATGAAGCTACCTCATAAGGTTGTGAGGATTACATTAGTTCATATGCGTAAGGTACTTAAAACAGTGCTTGGCATAGAGTATATAGTTTTGTAATTATTATTTATTAGGAATAGTTGCTAAGTTCTATCAGGTTTTTATTTATTTTTTTTTTTTGAACAAGTCAGTGAGAGGTTATAGGTTTTTAAAAATCTGTAATTTTATGGGGTATGTCTTTCTCTGTCTTTTTTTTTTTTTTTCTTTTTGGTATTTCATTTTGTTGGTAAGTTTCTAAATACTTGGAATGTCCTTGTATTTTTTTAGTAAAATCTATTTGTTCATAGTGATTGTTGTTGTTAAGTGTAATCAAGATTATTCCATTTGGTAATAATGTTTTGCTGGCTTTGCAAAATGAATTTGGAAGGATTTTTTTTCCCTCTTTTATTACTGTGGAGAGTTTCCGTCACTTGGGAATTAATCTTTTTTTTTTTTTGAGACAGAGTCTCACTTTGTTGCCAGGCTAGACTGAGTGCCATGGCATCAGCCTAGCTCACAGCAACGTCAAACTCCTGGGCTCAATTGATCCTTCTGCCTCAGCCTCCTAAGTAGCTGGGGCTACAGGCATACGCTACCATGCCTGGCTAATTTTTTCTATATATATTAGTTGGCCAATTAATTTCTTTCTATTCATAGTAGAGACAGGGTCTCGCTCTTGCTCAGGCTGGTTTTGAACTCCTGACCTCGAGCAATCTGCCCGCCTTGGCATCCCAGAGTGCTAGGATTCACAGGTGTGAGCCGCTGCACCCGGCCGGGAATTAATCTTTGAAAGCTTACTAGAAGTAACTGGGCCTGATTCCTTTTTGGTATGGGTAAGGGATCTGGAAGGGACATATCTTTAGCAACTGTTTTAGTCAGTTTGAGCTGCTATAACAAAATACCATAGACTGGATGGCTTAAAAAACAGATATTTATTACAGTTCTGTACACTTGAAAGTCCAACATCAAGATGCCAACATGGTTGATTGCTGGTGACAGCTCTCTGGTATGCAGATGGCCACCTTCTTCCTGTGACCTTACATTTTGGAGAGAGCAAGAGCACTGATGCCTCTTCTACATCTTTTTAGGGCATTAATTCCATCATGAAGGCCCCATCCTTATGACCTGTTCTAACCCTAATTATCTCCCAAAGATCTCATCTCCAAATACCATCATATTTGGGGTTGGGGCTTCAATATAAACATTCATTCCATAACATTCCACTCCTAGCCACCCCTCCGTTCATGTCCATGCATACAAAATGCATTCATTCCATCCCCACATCCCCAAAAGTCTTAACTCATTTCAGTATCAACTTTAACCTCTAAAGTTGAAGGTCTCATCTAAACATCCAAATCACATATGGGTGAGAGTTAAGGTACAGTTCATCCTGAGGCAAAATTCCTCTCTAGTTGTGGACCTATGAAACCAGACAAGTTATGTGCTTCAAAAATGCAATGGTAGGACAGGCATAGATTAGACATTTCAATTCCAAAAGGAAGAAATTGGAAGGAAGAAAAGGATGATGAGCCCCATGCAAATCCAAAATTTAGCAAGGCAAATTTCATGAGAATTTTTTTTTTCTTTCAGAGACAGGGTTTTGCTCCATCTCCCAGGCTGCAGTGCAGTGGTATGGTCATAGCTCACTGTACCCTTGAACTTCTGGGCTCAAGTGATCCTTCTGCCTCAGCCTCCTGAGTAGCTGGGACTGCAGGGGCACGCCACCATGCCCTAATTATTTTTTTGTAGAAACGAAGTTTTGCTATGTTGCCCATGCTGTTTTTAAACTCCTGGCCTCAAGTGATTCTCCTGCCTTGGCCCCCCAAAGTGCTAGCATTGCAGGCATGAGCCACCATGCCCATCCATGAGATCATAAGGCTAGAAAATAATCCTCTTTGGTCCCATGCTGTCCCCTCCAGGACCTCTGGGATAATGGTCCTGACCATAAATGTGCCAGGCAGGGGTCACTCCCCCATGGCTTTCATCAGAGATCATTTGGCCTATTGAAACTGAGGCAGTATTCCTAATGATTTCTGAATAGCCAAGGGAAGGGTCATTCTTTTCATGTCTGGAATAGTGGATGTTCACAGCCTTCCTCTTTCCTACCTTTGTGACTCTGGATATAGTCATATTGGATCTAATGGCTTCAACATGCAAATTTTGTGGGACACAAAATTCAGTCCATAGCAGTACTTCAATTCCTCTGATCTGCCACATGCCCAATGACTTCCGGAAGTACTCGCCATCCACTATGTTAACATCTTCATTGTTGGCCTAAAAAACAGTTGACCTATGACCTACATAGGGTCATAGATAATATGGTAGGTTGAGCTGTCAACCCTGAGAAGATCCAGGGACTTGTTCAACAAGTGCAGTCCTTGGAGCCACCAAGGTTAGTAATCAGAGGAGTATTTCTGATAAAGTGAAAAAATCAGCCTTGGCAGCTCCCACCCTCCACAAGAAAGAAGGTGGTAGGCCTGTTTGGCTGTTAGAGAACATGTGCCACATCTGGGTATTACTTTGCTTCCTTTAGTTAAAATTACCCGCAATGCAACTACCTCTGAATGGGATTCCCCAAAACAAGGAATTTGTTTGCCATTCCAACAAGGAATAAATCTGCCATTTAGGCCAAGGAAGCCCATAGGCCTATGGAACTACTGATGCAGATTGGAGCCTGTGGCAACAAGAGACTGCTACAAGAGTGTGCTGGCCTCTCAGGTTTGGGATATATAAATTACCCAAGATGGTTGCCACCTACGCTGCCTTTGAATGTAACTCTCAGCCTGCTGTTTTGGACCCTGATGGGAACAGAATGCTTGACCACTGAAGCATCATATTTTACCTTAAGACCTGAGCCGCCCATCCTCACGTATGTGCTGTTAAAGGAAAATAAAATTGGAAGCCACAATGTAGATATGCCCCAAGGCCAACCATGTAACCGAAACGTACATCATTCTGCTTTCCCTGAAACTTAAATCTCTGATCATAAATGAAACACAAAACATAAGCTTTATATCCTTCTCAACATGATTCAGTGAAATTAAGCCAATCAGCTGTAGACAAATAAGCTTAAACGGCTCTGCTTTTTCTAAAAAAAGAGTATTAACGTATAAAAGCTAATCATGAAAAAGGTCAAAATACTCCCGCCTTTACGCTGTATGAACTGTGCTGTAACTGCTGTAGGATGAACTTCTTACCACTTGATTTGAGTCTCCCAGATCGTGATCTGTACTGTTTGTATGACAATAAACTTGATCTGATTTTATTTTTTCACAGTACTCACTAATCCTACCAATAGGACAGGATCAGTAAAGTGTCATCATTAAATGGAAATGTTACATAGGAGATGGAGCCTGACTGGACTTTAGGGCGTCAGCTGACTCTGTGGAGAAGCAGCCTTGCCAGAGCAGCTGAGCAGCCCACAGGGGGTGTCCCCTTAGCTAAGTA